ACAAATATTCACAGGCCGAAATAAAACAGTTCATACGTTAATGAATGACAATTCAATGAATTCATACGTCTTCCTTACAGTTTTCTGTTAATCTGCATGAAATTATTTAGAAAAACAGAGAGAAAAACTTCAATAAAACAAAGAAATTCCAAATAAACTTGAACCCATCAGAGTCCCTATCAAGGTCCACGTGAGAGTCCCCCATACATGAGAGTCCCCCCCTTATATGAGAATCCTCATCAGAGACCCATCTTACATCATATTTCCCATTAAATCCCCCCATTACATTAGGGTCCCCATCAGAGTTGCCCTTACTTTAGAGGCTCCACTTACATCAGAGTCCCCATCACAGCCCCCTCACAATTAAGTCCCCATTAAAGTCTCTCTTACATCAAAGTCCATCTTAGAATAGAATCCCCCACACATTAGAGTCCCCCCTTATATGAGAGTCCCTATCAGAGTCCCCTCCCCCCCGTACTTCAGGGTCCCCGTCAGAGTCCCCCTTACATCAGGGTAGCCATCAGAGTCTCCACTTACATCACAGCTGCCTTACATCTGAGTCCCCATCAAAATCCTTCTTAGATTAGAGCCTTATCAGAGTTTCCCCTTACATCAGTGTCCCTATTAGAGTTCCCCCTTACATCAGAGTCCCCATTGACATACCACCTTAAATGAGAGTGCCTATTAGAGTACCCCTTACACGAGAGTCCCCATTAGAGTCTCTCTTACATGAGAATGCCCATTAGAGTTCCTCTTACATGAGAGTCCCCATTAGAGTTCCTCTTACATTAGAGTCCCCATTAGAGTTCCTCCTACATGAGAATCCCCATTAGAGTTCCTCTTACATGAGAGTCCCTATTAGAGTACCCCTTACATGAGAGTCCCCATTAGAGTCTCTCTTACATGAGAGTCCCCATTAGAGTCTCTTACATTAGAGTCCCCATTAGAGTTCCTCTTACATAAAAGTCCCTATTAGAGTTCCTTTTACATGAGAGTCCCCATTAGAGTCTCTTACATGAGAGTCCCCATTAGAGTTCCTCTTACATGAGAGTCCCTATTAGAGTTCCTCTTACATGAGAGTCCCTATTAGGGTACCCCTTACATGAGAGTCCCCATTAGAGTCTCTCTTACATGAGAGTTCCCATCACAGTACCCCCTTACATCAGCGTCCCTTTGTACATTAGAGGGCCTGATAAAATCTTGCAGCGGGCTTAATTAGGTCCACGGGCCATAGTATGGAGTCCCCATGATTCCAAATATGTTTGATATAATGTACTAATCTGTTGTTTCTTATTCCAGGGCCCAAGAGGTCCAAGGGGCTTAGTCGGACCCCAGGGAGCGGCAGGAGATAGGGTGAGTGCTCATTCACATGACCTTCCCTGCGCTGCATGTCAGTGTTTACCTGCCTTACACTTGTATAGTAAAGCTCCACCTTGTAAGAGTCCCATGTGTGTAGTGCAATGTGGAAAATGCAGCACACGTTGACTGTCTGATCTCAGGGTGACCAGGAGGCGTGGCTCATTACCCAGCCACTCCCCATTCTGCTGTAGCACCGGTTGATGTCCATACCATTCCAGAAAGCTCAGCCAAGGCGTAGTTATGCTTTATTATGATCTCTTCGTTGTTTTCTTAGCCTCTGGCTACCACTTATTAATTGGCCATCTCTTCTTTTTAGGGAGACACCGGATTTAGGGGACCTTCCGGTCCTCCAGGACCTCCTGGGAAAGCTGTACGTATGAGCTTGAGGCATGTTTCCTCTCTTATAACTGAGTATTCACTTGCTGACATGTATCTCTGAACCATCAAAGTGTTGTTACTATAGGAGACAATAATGGCCAAAGATTGGTTAATGTGTATGTGGGGTCCTGATTTGCTGCCGTCCATACTGGCCAAGGGCACCTCCCTCTGTCCTCCTGCAACAGGATCAAGATAGGGCACCACACACCTGTAATGTGGAAGAATGCTGTGGTCACTCACATTTGCCCAGCCTGAAGGCCACCTCCAGAATAAAAGAGATGTCCATATGCCCAGCCCTTTTAACATTTACCGTAACAGGAACATTTTTTATTGTTTTTGTCAAAACACAACTTTTCCTCTTTACCCTCAACATCAGTAACACTGCATAGTTCAAGTTCAAATGCCAACCAGCATTGTCTGGGCCGTGTGAGGTAATTGGAAATGTGGAAGTGTGGAATCCCTGAATCCAGTCCAACCAGTCAGGAAGATGGTGGCAGCTGTGCTTCTGCCCTCATTGGTCTGCCAGTCGCCAAGATGGCGGCAGTCACACTTCCATTTTTTTCCGAGTGGCATCAGCCATGTAAGAGGGGTGGCGTCGCTCCTCAAGCAACTAGGGTGGACCAGGAGATATGAGCAACAAAGATATGATGTGGGTGAGGGCATCATATCTAAATATGTGTCTTTGTCTTTTATTTGTGTTTCCATTGGAGAGATTTCTTATCATTTCCTGTTTTAACTGGAAGTAAGGAGAGATCTTCCTATCGCAGATCTGGGCCTCTTATGGCCTCAGGCCACATTCAGCCCTTTGGCTGTCCCTGTCTAGGCCATGTGAGGTTAATTAGAAATGTGGAAGTGTAGAATCCCTGAATCCAGTGTAACCAGTCAGCAAGATGGTGGCAGCTGTGCTTCTGCCCTCATTGGTCTGCCAGTCGCCAAGATGGCGGCAGTCACACTTCCACCTTTTCTGAGTGGCTTTAGCCATGTAAGAGGGGCGGCGCCGCTCCTCAAGCAACTAGGGTATAAGCGGAGACATGGGCAACAAAGATATGGTGCGGGTGAGAGCAAGTGGGGGTGTGTTGCCAGTTCCCACTCTCCACCCTACAAGTAAGGGGCGGAGTCTACGCCCCCACTAGCCAGGTTTAACTTCCACCTTGCAGTGGAAGTGGCACACACCAAGGGCATGTATAACAGTGGAGACCAGGGGCGGACTGACAACTCATGGGGCACCCGAGCAATAGGGAATCATGGGGTCCCTGTGTCCTTGCCCACACCCAAAAAAGCCTATGAAAAAGCCAATGAAAGGTACCAGGGGCATCTCATGGGGCCCCCTACTGACCCCGGGCCCTCGGGCAGTGCCCACCCCTGGTGGAGACCCTCACAACAAACTCAGTTTCCCATTTGGCCCCCTGGGAAAATTACTTGTTCACACCTGCCCTATCCGGTACACGGACACCAATAAAAATTTGACAGGGGCTCTAACCCAAAAAAAAGGTTCGGCTAGAGTTGTACTTTAACTATAGAATACAAGCATATGCTGATCATTATAGAGGAACAGCTAGCAAAGGTACAAGTCTTCATTTGATTTGTCTGTTGTTTTTAGGGGGATCAAGGTGTGAGGGGTCCCCAGGGATACCCAGGACCAAAGGGAGACACGGTAAGTGACTAATATACTTGTTTTTGAATCTTCTTTTTCCAATAACAGGCAGATAGCTTCATCCTGGTTAACTGAATAAAGGTAATCCAAAGATGTCGGAAATTTGTTGGTGGAACATTTCATGGCCTTTAATGCTGTTTAAATCATAAAGATAACAAAGTTGACTAATATATGAATGTAAATTTGTCTGAGCTGGATAATTATTTATGTTGCTTGTGTTTTAGGGCAAATCAGGTCCAAAAGGAATGCCAGGAGGTCCGGGCCCAGTAGGAGAACCGGTAAGAGATCTCACCATTACAATGAAAGCTTCAGAGACGGATATAATGATTGTATAAGATATATATGCTGACATATTACATATCATGGACAAATTAGAACCATGCATATTAGTCTCCGCCCCTGAGGAGCTCACAGTTTGATGTCCCTACAACTGATACACACAAACACTCTGTGACCAGTTTGGTCTGATCTGAGTCTAACCTAAGCCTGCTTGTTTATGCACAAAAAAAAAAACAGGCAAATGTAGGATTATGGCATCCAGCCATTATCTATAGTATAGCAGATATAAAAGACACAAATTATTGCATCTCTGTACTGAATAATACTACAAGCAGTATAAGTACTTGAATTAGTATCAGCCACCCCAATGCCCTATACAGCAGAACTTAGACTGGAAGATAGAGAAGCAGCACAAAAGCCAACTATTTTTATTATTATTATACAGGATTTATATAGCGCCAACAGTTTGCTCAGCGCTGTACAATATAACGGGAGACAATACAGCAACAATACAGTTCAATACAAGAGGGTTAGGAAGGCCCTGATCCTTGGAGCTTACAATCTAAGAGGGAGGGGCTAGTGGTACAAAAGGTAATAACTGTGAGGGATGGACTGATAAGAGGAATAGAAGATTCCATTATTAGCTGAGGGCAGGATAGGCTTCCCTGAAGAGAGAGGTTTTCAGAGATTGCCTAAAAGTGGGCAGAGTAGGCGATAGTCTGATAAATTGGGGTAGAGAGTTCCAGAGGATGGGGGAAGCTCTGGAGAAGCCCTGGAGACGAGCATCGGAGGAGGAGACAAGGGAGCTAGAGAGCAGGAGGTGGTGTGAGGTGCGGAGAGGACGGTTTGGGTGATATTTAGAGACAAGATTGGTGATGTAATTTGGGGCGGAGTTATAAATGGCTTTATATGTTATTGTTAATGTTTTGAATTTTATCTATTGGGCAATGGGAAGCCAGTGGAGGGATTGGCAGAGAGGGGTGGAGGACACTGAGTGGGGGCTAGTGGAGGGATTGGCAGAGAGGGGTGGGGGACACTGAGTGAAGGCCAGTGGAGGGATTGGCAGAGAGGGGTGGAGGACACTGAGTGGAGGCCAGTGGAGGGATTGGCAGAGAGGGGTGGAGGACACTGAGTGGAGGCCAGTGGAGGGATTGGCAGAGAGGGATGGAGGACACTGAGTGGAGACCAGTGGAGAGATTGGCAGAGAGGGGTGGAGGACACTGAGTGGAGGCCAGTGGAGGGATTGGCAGAGAGGGGAGGAGGACACTGAGTGGAGGCCAGTGGAGGGATTGGCAGAGAGGGATGGAGGATACTGAGTGGAGGCCAGTGGAGGAATTGGCAGAGAGGGGTGGAGGACACTGAGTGGAGGTCAGTGGAGGGATTGGCAGAGAGGGATGGAGGTCACTGAGTGGAGGCCAGTGGAGGGATTGGCAGAGAGGGGAGTAGGACACTGAGTGGAGGCCAGTGGAGGGATTGGCAGAGAGGGGTGGAGGACACTGAGTGGAGGCCAGTGGAGGGATTGGCAGAGAGGGGTGGAGGACACTGAGTGGAGGTCAGTGGAGGGATTGGCAGAGAGGGGTGGAGGACACTGAGTGGAGGTCAGTGAAGGGATTGGCAGAGAGGGGTGGAGGACACTGAGTGGAGGCCAGTGGAGGGATTGGCAGAGAGGGGTGGAGGACACTGAGTGGAGGCCAGTGGAGGGATTGGCAGAGAGGGTGGCAGATACAGAACGGTTAGTAAGGTGGATGAGTCTGGCAGCAGCATTCATGATAGACTGCAGGGGGGATAGCCTGCGATGAGGTCGGCCAATGAGGAGGGAGTTACAAAGTCAAGGCGAGAGATAACCAGGGAGGGAATCAGTTGCTTAGTGGTTTCTGAGGTAGGTGTGTTGCACTGCTCATGTGCTAACACATGCTGATAGGAGGAAAGGGCAGAGTGGTAGAAGGATAGGATCACCAGTCTATTGCTTCTTTCACTGCCCAGTGACAGGCAAATGGAGGGACAAGACCTGTAAATGTTACTGAACTGCAGCACTTAATTCCTTCCCTGTCAGACAGGGCTGTGTGACAGAGCTGTGTAAATCTCAGGGTTGGATGGACAGATATACAAATCCTTTTGCGGGAAAAACAGCTGCCATTTATGTTTTTCATCTGTTTGCTTAGAGTTCAGCTTTAAAGGATAATCCAAAAATTGGTAAACCCTTACTTACATGCTTTTTTTACCTTTCTTCTGTCTCCTACAGCCACAGATATGAATGCCCGGAAAGGATGGACGGGATGGGACCAACTGGTCTGTACGGTAGAGAAGGTTTGATTACTATAATGTCTCAGCCTCAGAAAGTGCTTTGTGTTTCAATTAGATCCAATAACAGAAAAGCACAAGCACTGTGTAGTTCTATTGGGCAAGAAGCAAGACCTGTATGGAGATTTGAACCAACACGCTGAGCCGGATTTATGTGGCCCTTCTTATACCCCAGGCACTTGGTCAGATTTAGGTTGAACTGGATGGGCCTGTGTCTTTATTCAACCTGGCACACAGTGGCCTAATTGGTTAGCACTTCCGCCTGGCGAGGGGGTTCAAATGCCCTGCCATGGCTGTCACCTGACCTGGAGTACTGCATTGACGTCCTTTGCTTCAGCACACACCTTACAATCACAATCCACTGGGTACTCCAGTTTCCCTCCCACACTCTAAAGAAAGCTATAGATTAATTGGCTCCTGTCTATAAATTTTCACAAGGTCACTTCTATCTTGCTGTGTGTTTAGGGACCAGGGCCGGATAGCACGTTCCTGGAGAGTTAGGGACCCAATGATGCTACCTGTAAGTATCATAACTTAAAGCCTGTACAACAAATAAATAAATAAAATCAGCTCTTGTGGATATATCATGTACTTAAGAACAGCGCCTATGCTAATTCTGTTATAGAGCGGTGACAGCAATGATGTTCCTTGATACATCCATGTGTACTATTAGATCAATGTTCTCAGTGGTTTGGTAGTCATTTTATCCTTTCTTCTGTCTCCTGACCAGGGAATGCCCTGGAATGCATGGACGGGATGGGACCAACTAGCCAGGACGGTGAGAACTGGTTTGTACTCCATTCGCAGCAAGAGTGCGGTGTTTCCTCCAATGCACAAATACATCCATTCTAGAAGACCTGTAGGAGATTTTTTCACTCTGAGAATGCAGCCTCATCCATTTCTTCTTAGAGAACGGGACATCACTGGAATGCAGCCTATACATTCACTAGAGACCGGTGACATCATTGAGAATGCAGCCTATCCATTCACTAGAGACCGGTGTGACATCACTGAGAATGCAGCCTATCCATTCACTAGAGACCGGTGACATCACTGAGAATGCAGCCTATCCATTCAGGTGGTGGAGCCCCGGTGACAGTCTGCGTGAGAATGTTTCAGCCACACCATTCACTAGAATCCGGTCCACGTTTCACAGAATGTTCCCTATAACATTCACTAGAGACCGGTTTTCACTGAGAATGCTAGCCTATCCATTATAGAGATTTTCTTGGTGATTTCACTGTAGAATGCAAAGCCTATATCATAGGAGGTCAGACCGGTGACAGCACTTTCAGTTGTATGCAATTATCCATTCACTTGACCGGTGACATAGTGAGAATGGCCTAATTCTAAAGGAAATTGGGTGACAACTGTAAGAAAATGCATAGTGTTTATCCATTCACTAGAGACCGGTGACATGGAGACTGAGAATGCAGTGGGGCGGCCATTCACTAGAGACCGGTGACATCCTGAGAATGCAGCCTATCCAGTCACTAGAGACCGGTGACATCACTGAGAATGCAGCCTATCCATTCTTTCACTAGAGACCGGTGACATCACTGAGAATGCAGCCTATCCATTCACTAGAGACCGGTGACATCATGGTAGAGAGGGTGACATCACTGAGAATCTTCCCGACTGTCGATAGCCCCTGGCTGACAATTCACTGAGAATGCAATCCACCAGTTCTGTAGAGACCCTGACATCTTACTGGGAGGAATGCAAGCCTATCTGTCACTAGAGACTGGTGACTGATCATGTGAGAACATAGGTCACTTCTATTCACTAGAGACCTGTGACATCAGGGTGAGAATGCAGGATATTCATTCACTGGAGAGACCGGTGACATCACTGTAAGAATGCAGCATATCCATTCACTAGAGACGTTGGTGACATCACTAAGAAGTGCAGCCTATCCATTCACTAGAGACCGGTGACATCACTGAGAATGCAGCCTATCCAGTCACTAGAGACCGTGACATCACTGAGAATGCAGCCTATCCATTCACTAGAGACCGCTGACATCACTGAGAATGCAGCCTATCCTTTCACTAGAGACCTGTGACATCACTGAGAATGCAGCCTATCCATTCACTAGAGACTGGTGACATCACTGGGAATGCAGCCTATCCATTCACTAGAGACCGGTGACATCACTGAGAATGCAGCCTATCCATTCACTAGAGACCGGTGACATCACTGAGAATGCAGCCTATCCATTCACTAGAGACCGGTGACATCACTGAGAATGCAGCCTATCCATTCACTAGAGACCAGTGACATCACTGAGAATGCAGCCTATCCATTCACTAGAGGCCGGTGACATCACTGAGAATGCAGCCTATCCATTCACTAGAGGGTGACATCACTGGGAATGCAGCCTATCCATTCACTAGAGGCCAGTGATATCACTGAGAATGCAGCCTATCCATTCACTAGAGACCGGTGACATCACTGAGAATGCAGCCTGTCCATTCACTGGAGACCAGCGACATCACTGAGAATGCAGCCTATCCATTCACTAGAGGCCAGTGACATCACTGAGAATGCAGCCGATCTCCATTCACTGGAGAGGCCGGTGACATTACTGAGAATGCAGCCTATCCATTCACTGTGTAATGTAAAGAGAATAAAAATGGAATGGTTAAATGATATAGTTTCCTGCATTATGCACACTATTTCTTTCTACAGGGGCTTGGTGGTAAAGCTGGAACTAAGGGAGAAAAAGGTCAGCTGGTAAGTTATCTGCAGATTACTGAAGATCAGACACCCCAATATGCAATGCAGGCTTATTAGATAATGAACAATGTTTTCCCTTCCAGGGCAGCGCCGGAGATCTGGGAGGAACTGGACTTTCTGGAGAGCCAGGTATTCCCGTATGTATCCCACAACACCCAAAAGGGGTGGAGCAGGAGGGGTTTGGTTAAAGGTGGAAACTCCTTTTAAGCTGTTATATACTGAGATATACTGAGATCACAACGTTTTTCTTTAGGGTATGCAATCCACTTTGGCCTTCTTCCCAGAGAGTTTAACAGTAGAAAAACTGTGCTGATAACAATGTTATCTCTCACATCCAAGAAACAAAATCTAGTATACCTCGTTTGCTAGTCACTTTACATAGTGTAGGGAGGCCCATGTTGAGAGATAGTGATTTTCTACCTCAAGTCTTCTACTAATAATATTAATTATCAGTGTATTCTTACACTTTTAATTGCATTAACATCAGATGGTAACATCATGGTGTAAGCTAGAATTTCCCATTAAGTAGTCAATGAAACATATTAAAAAGTAACCCCGCTCAGAACAAATCTTTTAGTTATTGGTTTGATATCAACATTCCAAATCAACCATGAAGTTCTATTACCCCCTGGCGACAATAGAAGGAAGGTTTTCCAATGTGTGTATGGCTACAACCTCCAACAGGCCTCTTGTAATCCCATTCAGTCCAAGCAAGGTCGTACTATCCCATTGGAGATTTTAGGTGGTCTGGCTTCATGAATGACCTGAGACTGCTTGACATAAGGGCTACACTAGAAAAGAGGATGGACTAATCCTCCCAGTGGAGTCCCAGATGTACAGATAGCATGCTATCGCATTGGGAGTCATCCTAACCTAAAAATAAAGTTGTAGGTGAATCCTCAAAGATTTGTCAATCGTTAAATTAAAGCAGTGTTGCCTAAAGTCTGGCGGCACCAGAGGACTTCACCTTCACTCTAGGTCAGCGGCAATCAAACATACCAGTACCGCAAGTGCAGCTGATGAGAGGCTGTAGCAGGGGTGGACTGACCATTTGGAAACTCGGGCACTGCCCAAGGGCCCGGGGTCAGTAGGGGGCCCCATGAGATGCCCCTGGCACCTTTTTCATAAACTTTTTTGAGTTTGGGCAAGGACACGGGGGCCCCATGATCCCCTATTGCCTGGGGGCCCTATGAGTTGTCAGTCCGCCCCTGGGCTGTAGATAATATTCAGTGTATGGAATTCTACAGAAGGCGTTTAGAGACTGCAGAATTACTACAAGAGAGTGTAAAATGACTACTACTTTGCGAAATGTTCAAAGACTATGGAATTACACCTGGAAATAGTAAAGGACTGCAAAATACTACAGAAGAAGGTCAAATGACTGGAGAATTACTATGGGAGATGGTCAGAGACTTTGGGATTTCTACAGGAGACAAGGACCGCAGAATTAGTACAAGAGAAGGTCAAAAACTGCAGAATTACTACAAGAGAGAGTTTCAGAGACTGCTGAGTTGGGCAGCTACTTAGGATGGTCAGACACTGTGGACATGTTACAAATAGTTGGAGATTACATTTGCAAAATAATGCTCCCACTTTTGGCTACTGGAGCCCCAGGGCCGTATGTGGTCCTGAGGCTGCAGGGGTTGGGCATCAGAGCTCTAGGTGGTGAACACAGAGCCGTATATCTGGTAACCTTTTGGTAGAACATTCGCTCTTACCACCTGCCTTCTCTAGTGCTGTGCTGGTTTTCTCAGGCCACCAATTAGATGTTTCCTCAGCTGGCATGAGGTTGTGTGTTTGGTGAGAACAGTGTACTAATTGGTCATTGACTAGGCAGAATGTTGGCATGGGAAAGAGATTTATGCTCATCAGGAACCCTCAGAAGGACTTTGTGGAAGGGTTGCTGGTCAAGATTC